AAGAACAAGTTGTGGAGGAACTGCAATGATGGTATATGTGGCTATACGGAGCCTTGCTGAAATAACAGAGGACAGCACTGATTTTGATAAGGCAAATGTTAAAGCTGTTTATGATAGACTTTTGTGCTGATTATAAATGCGTTATAAAGTTTCCATCGTGTTCAGATTTTGAGAAAAACGAGATCAAAGTGTCAAAAAGTGAGAAGCTCTAGCAAAGAAAGAAAATGTGATAGAAACTTCCACTTAGGCTTAAATTATGGCTTGAATTTTCAGCTACCACCTCTGCACCATGACCTTAAGGTCACTTACAGTCATTTATGGAACAATAAAAAATGCTGGAAAATTGTGCTATCAAAAAAAAAAATATTTGCCAAAATCGGTTTTGGTGTACAACAAATGACTATAAGTGACCACCAAGTCAATGTGCAGGAATGGTATTTTCAGGTATGGTAGTCAAGAGTTCTAGCTTTAATTTAAGCGCATGTAAACGGTTCTATCGCCTTTTGTATCTTTGCTAGAGCTTCTAAAATATTGCAAAAACGCGATTTTTTGACACTTTGATCTCGAGGCAACCGCAACATTTCCTTTTGCTACTAGTTGTGGTTGCATTCCGATTTCGAAAACCAAATAAGTAGTTTAAAGAAGCCCAAAGTTAAGCCTAATAGTTCGCTCGAAAGGATAAAGGGAATTACACTACTAATTCCGATTCCATTTTGAAATAAACTTTGATATTACATTGAAATAAAGTCTTTACTTACCATAAAAAAGGCTAATCTTCATGCGCCAAATGCGCACTCTGAAAATAACATAAATTTAAATCGGCTTAGGATTTAAGACGTTGACAAATTTAAATATGGCAATCTATAAATTAAATTGCTTATTCATCGCATAGTTAAACGATTTTATTCTCATTTAAATTACAACTACTCTTCAACCAAACCAATTTAATGGCCACCAAGCTAGTTTTTCGCATTGACCCGGTTGGTAATAGCAATCAGTTAACTCTTAAAATGAGAATTGGCTTCTTTTTGAAAGCCACCAATCGGAATGATTGTTATTCAACGGCTTTGCGTGGCCACTTGTATATGCAAAAGTACTTATTGTGTGATCGTATGTACATATATAAATGTAAACGACTGAATGATCATCATAAATAGCACCTTTTATTTACCCATTGAAAGTCTCACTTCATTTCCAATTGTTTTGCGCGCCATAAAAATGCTCATTTGGCCAAAGTATATCGAACGTTATGTGTCAGCCGGGCCATTGACTTCGATAGTGACTGTGACGGTGATGGTGATAGCAGTGATGATGCTATGGGCGATGATGATGCGAAAGACTGTTGCTGCTGAGCGTTCGCCTTTTAACGCTTATTCTAGCCAGATTATGCATTCCAAGCGTTTGCCCTTCGCAGCACGCCATTTTCTTAGGCCATCGAAACATTGCATTTTGCACTTTTGCTCGCCGTTCCTGCAAATCCCCAGGATTGCCCAATAAACGTCAACCAAATCCCCTCCTGTTTTAATTTCATCGATTTCAATATCAATGCAATCGGCCGCCAAGTTTTTCGCTTGTTACCACCAGCCACCAGCGATCATCGACCAGCACAAAGAATTGGAGTGGGATAAAAGCCATTTCAGCTGATTTCAACTGTGGCGCTATTAAAAAAGCATAAAATATAAATTTATGCCAAGCAATGTCAACGACCAGCTGCAAGTGTGGCGAAATTTTTGCGCTGGTATGTATGTGTGTAGTGATGCGGGCAAAGAAGCAGCAAATCATGCGCCGACCCGCTGCGTTGCAATGCGCTAGACTTTCCGCCGATCGATACGATTGCAACAATTGCTGCACTTACTCATCGCGCCGCATTTACAGTTTGATAAGCATTTATGGTCACTTTTCTTGGCGTTCATTTATTGTCCATTTGGTTTAAATATACGTACATAAATACATGTGTGCCAATGTGTTGATGAGCTTTGGTGCATCTGGCCGCCGATTGATGTTGGTGATCACTCGCCGCAGCTATCGCTTGGTCATATGTACATACCTATGTATGTACGTTAGTCCACTGCTGTGAAAAGACCGAGCATCATCTATGGTGAGTGGTGATTGTTTTGGAAATCGTGCCGCGCCTGCAGTGCCGAACGTGACAAGCGGCAAGTGGTGAACTTATGAGGAAAAGGTTGACACATTCACCTCTGTCAGGCGGTGGGGGAGCATAAATTAAAAATAGAAAATTGTTTATATTTTTCTAATATGCAGTTTATTTCCGTCTATTTATATATTAGAAAGTTTTCAAATAGCGAAGTAAAATTAGAAATTTATTATTATTTCGCGACATGTATACTACTCTAATCCTAGAGCTAGGACTTAGTTTCGGGATTTCCAGCCCGCCAAAGTTTCAGGCTAGGGTAGAAAAACTTCTCACACATCCTGCGCGAGATTATTTTTTAACCGACTTCACAAAAAGGACAAAGATTATCAATTCGTCTGAATATTTTGTTTATGTATGTTACCGCATAACTTTAGACCACATTAACCGATTTCTATAATCCTTTTTTTAAGGAAAAAGTGTTACCTCACATGTGGTCCTATACTCCTACGATCTAACGATTGAACTCGTCTCGGTTCTAGGATATCGGCTAGATTTTAGACGGTTTCAACAAAGAAACACCGACGAATACTTCAGGTAATAGATTGTACCCAGTTCGATGTCGTCTGTGGTTCACATCGGAAATAGCCGATGCCTCAAACACTCCAAATGCCGCCAACCAGATGATGTCATACATGAGGACGGACATGATGAGAGGCTATAAATTGCGATCTTCGTTCACCGAGAGAAAACTTTACTGGTAAATTACCTGCTCTGCCCAACGTATTAATTATTGGCAAGTGGAATTCGTCTTTGGATTTCTAGGCCAACATTATTATTAGTTCTGACGCAGTTCACAAGTAGACGAAGTCCCCTACATTTTCGATAATATAATGTGGTTTCGTCGACGCTAATGCGCTGGCTACTTGTTTGATAACACGAAATGCTGCAATATTTTTTCCGTGTTTACCTCCAGATCTGCGTCCCCTGTTGCTCTATCTAATTTAGTGAAAGCGGAAAAAAAAGATTTGTTGAGGCCGGTAATTTAACGTCAGCGGCGTAGGGTAGCAATTGTACGCTCTTATACGATTAATAATTGCCCTTCAGTGGTTTAGTTCTGTAGCTTTGATTGTCATTTCCACCATCAGCTTAAAGAAATCACACAACAGGTAACTACCATGTCTGTAGTCTCATTCGTTAAATTATTTCTCGGCGTGGGATTTAGCCTTGTATTCGATGGCCAGCAGGCTGACCCCGCGGGCTTTTCTTTTGGTACCATAAGCTGCCAATTTTTACGTATGCTTTCGTCCAACCGTATTCAGAATATGAGCTCCACGCATCAGATAGCTCAGCTGGCAGACCATCAAACTTATTTTTAGCGGCGCTATTGATTTTCAAATCTCGTCATGGTCGATTGGAGGATACCGCTTACCTCTGTTACTATTCAGTACATTGAAGAAATATTCTCTCTTTAATTTAAGTGTGCCGTGGACATCAGTCACTAGTTCACCAGGCTTGTTCTTACAAGGATTCGCACCGTTCTTGAAATCTTCCGAAATTCAACTAATTTTCGTGTAACTGACATAACTTCCTCAGACATAACTTCCATTGGCCCGTAGAAGTTATTTCAAACTTAATTTCCACGAAGATCAAACTTAACTTCAATGGAAGTTATTTCATGATATGACTTCCTGAATATTTCCATCTCATCGCAGTGCTCCGCTCGCTTATTGGATGGCGTTCCCCCCCTATGGCGATCTAATTATTGTGGAAATTAAATCATGAGCGGAGCGCTCCGATCGCTCACTATTCCATATGAACACAGATATGTATACTAAGAATAAATTATAATATTATTCGAACAATACTTTGGATATTTACTTGACGTTCATGGCAATTTTCAATCTTTGAAAGATCGTGATAGAATTCGCCTAATATTACATGATCACAGGGAATAAATACAATTTTTCACGGATTTATTTTACAGTTTATATAGACTTTGAGATTTTCAGAATTTAGAACTACTTGAGGTTTATCAGAAGTGGTTGCGTTCGAATTTTCTTTAAAAAAAACTCGATCAAGTCATCATCCAATTCGTCCTCAATTTCAATATCCAATTCGTTTTCTTCATCCTATGAGGTTTTCTCGATTACCTTTTCTAGAACCACCTTCGATAAAAATTATTCGATATTTATTTGGGATTCTAACATTAACTTGGAAACCTTATCGGTTTCAGAATCCCGCCGAAGTGATTGTTTTTTTTTCTTAACCGGTGGCTGATAACCATCAAACATAACTCGCAAAAGTTGAATAGAAATAGCCTCCTCTTCTGCGATTAGAAGCGAAAGAAAACGGAAGAAAAGTTTTAAGCGAAAATAACTAATTTTGCGCCGGACTTCCAGCTTTGACACTAAAATTTAAGATTTTTCAAAAAGTGGAGTTAATGAATTTCTGCAGTGAGTGGCTCATTTAATATACAATTATCATGGAACTTTTGTCTGACATAACTTCCATGAATCAGATCAGTGGATGTTATGTCAGATTTTACTTCCATGTAGTAATATCACGATATATCTTCCTTGGAACTTATGTCACGGTTCAGTGGAAGTTATGTCCGTGGAAGTTATGTCGAAACTCCTAATTTTCTAGTTTGCTTTTCGGCTCTTCGCACTCGCATTTTCTGGTTTCTCGGTTTTGGTAAATTTTTATATAGTAAACTTTTGAGTTGAATACTTCGCTGGCCGCACAAGGTTTTTTTTTGTAGCTGTGTAATAAGTGGCATTGTTTTAAATAATAAAACAAAGAACTACTTATCTTAGTTTAAGGTTTTTTTAAAATATATTCGAACAGATAACTACATCCGCATAGAGTTCTTCATTAATTCAATACCTTCATTGTGATTTTGCAGGTACGCTTGTATTTCTCACAAATACCCGATGACAAAGTGCCATACGTGAATAGTCCGGGAGAGCAGTATCGAGTACGACAATTACTACATCAACTTCCACCACACGACAATGAGGTAAGAGTCCAAATAAAGGTTTATATGTATGTAGGAATGGCCTTCCCGTTTCATCCTCTTCGTATACAAAAACGCGGCTATTTAGTTTAATAATTTAATATTACATACTGTTTATTTAACAAAACGCACATATTACAATTCAACAACTTAACACTAGCAGAACATTGTTCTGCGCTTGATGGCGGCTGACAATGCAATGTCCAGTCTGATCTGTTCGTATCATTCTCTTCTCTATCGCCTTTCGTTAAATAGTTTGATAAGTTAGATTCCTCTATTCGTTATGTAGGGCTGCATTTCTATGTTACTAACTCTGAATGGCCAATTAGTCCTAGCATCGTAAGTACTGTCCGTAAACTAATCCCACATGTATGTAAGTATATGCCTCGATGGATATTAAGGGTTTATAAGCCACAGGACACCAAAAAAATCCTATGAGCACACATATTAGAATTTATTTAAATAGAACGTTTTTATCTGATTTATTTTCCGAATCAGAAGTGGGCCTCTGTTATAGGTAAAGCAACAGAGAATGTCTGAAGGGATTACATAGCTTAGAACAAAAGTCACGAATTCTGTTTATGCTCTATTAACATACATACATTTTGTTTAACCATTTAAAAATCTGACACACTGCCTTCACCCACGCACTTTGAGCTTACCATAAATGGCCAATCTATGACAAGTTTTGTATAATTTGCATTCGCATTTCCCCATCTCAGCTTGACTGCATGCAACTCTTTCACTAAGTAACGTTACCCCGATTTTTATGTTATTAGACATTTTCAAGTCTCAATAAGTTGATAACGTTAAAAATTGCCCCAATTTCTTACTGTCTAGCTGAGCTGGTCGTCCACACTTGGCAGGATCAGCATGTGGTTGGTAGCTAAATTGAAGCGGGTTCATGGCATTTACATTACCGATGAATACGGCACTATGTAGATCCATATGTACACATGTACGAGTATGTAGCTAGCTTTTGCCATTTGCGACTAACGAGTTTTCACGCACTTCCCACTGTGTCGAAATGGCTAGCAAGTTCATCCCGAAAACTCTTTTATGCATTCATATGAAAATATCTGATAGATATGCTGATTGGAAGCGACGCGACGTGGAGCTGGTTAACTGAATAACTCATATGCTGATATATATGTACATTTGTAGTTTTGTACATAACCATATATATATGTATGTATGTTAATGCTGCACTGCCGTACGAAAACCAGCGGGAGCTGGGTAGAAGCGAAGTTCTAATGAGCTACAATAAATTTTAGAAACAAAAATTGATAGAAATGAAATTAACTCTGTTTAGGCATAACGGCAGACATTATTCAAATCTCAAAAAATGTGTGTTCTTTAACTCCTAAAGATCACACCTGCAAAATAAGGCGTAATGGTCACACAGGATCCAGTGGACCCAAGCAAACATCGTACACATAGAGACTCACATGTTAGCCGAAATCTGGTATGTTTCAAAGCATGCTTTATCGAACGAACTAACTAAATCCATACGAAACAGGGTATCAATAGCTATTTAAATGCCATATGAACATTGTTATTTTTTCCTTTGGATACCAGTTTTAAGGCACTTTTTTAATTTTTCCTTTAGAAAAAATAACTTAAGTACAATACTTTAAGAAGATTTATAAAAAATAAAAATATCTTTCTGGAATCTACATACTGTATATATATATATATATATGAATAATATGCGAAGGAATTTTTTGTTCAGGACAAAATATGTACACCGTTCGATCGATTTTCGAAAATGTAGTGTCAAATTAAAGCACTTGGCCTGTAGATGTGCAAACTGATTTAATTTTTTTCTAAAAGAAATGCCACCTGTTGAACAATTAAATTCCATGGCCCGTAGCTATAGTCAAAATAAAGTCGACTCTAAAGTTAAAAGCAGGTTCCTTTAACAGACAGGCAGATGTGCAATAAGGTTTTAATTTTTTGAAATGAGTTGCCACCCTTTAAAAAATTATATTCAAATCATTAAAAAAAAGAAATCAATTACTATAATAATTATTACAAATTGGGTATCAATCGAAATGGGTTGGAAAAGCTTTGTTCCTTAACTTAACTATGGGAGGGTTGCCACCTATTTAGAAAATCAAATTCAATTTGTATTAAGAAAATTAAGGGTGCCAAACGAAAGGGGTTTCAGAAGGTGGTAGTTTGAAAATATTTTGTAGAGGGATGCCACCTGTTAACTAATACACAAGTTATATGGAATATAAAAGTATAGACGTCAAGCAAAACGGTGTTAAGAAACCTTTAGTTTGAACACTCAGAATATTTTTGAGGTGTTGGAGAGGGTTGCCACCTGTTTAAAAAGTTAAATCCAAAATATGTTATAAGTTAAATGAATTACTAAAATATGGGTATCAATCGAAAGAGGGTTGAAAATCTTTATTTCTGAATTATATTTACCGGAGTTGCCAGATGTTTTAAAAAACAAATTCAATTTGATTCATCAGCTAATTAAAATATGTATCTCAATGTCAGTCAAAGGAGAGTTAACAAAATTTTAGCTTGAAAATACTTTTGAAGAGGGCTGCCATCTGTTTGAAAGGCCCAATTTAATAACTTATATGAAATATAAAAATACGGGAGTCAAAAGAAGGAGTGCTAATAAATGTTTAGTTTGGAGTGTTTGAAGAGGGTTGACCATGTGCTTAAAAAGTTACATCAAATTATGTAATAACTTGGATGAATTAATAAAAGATGGATATAAATCGAAATGAGTTTGAAAACGCTTTATTTCTGAAACATGTTTAAAAAATCAAATTCAACTTGAATTAAGGCAGTTGAATAATTGGAATACATACATGTATATTGTATGTACACAATATGGGTGTCAGATGACAGAGTTTAAGAAGGTTTTAGCGTTAAAAATTTTTTTGTAGGGGGTGCCACCTGTTTGAAAAGTCGAACTTATGGACGTCACACGAAAGAGTGTTAAGAAATGTTTAGTTTCAACATTTAGAATATTTTTTAGGGGTTTCAAGAGGATTGCCATCTGTTTAGAAACTTAAATTTAAATGAGTTACTAAAGGAGGGTTCACTCGAAATGTGTTTGAAAACTCTTATTTCTGACCTTTACGTAGGAGGGTTGCCAAGTGTTTGAACAATCAAATCCAACATAATTCATCGGTTTATTGAAATATATGTGTATCGCAATGTCAATCGAACGAGATTTATAAAAGCATTAGTTTGAAAATATCCTTTATTAGGCTGGCCAACTTTTCAAAAAGTTACATCGATCTAACTAAGTATATATGTAAATATGTATATTATACGAGAAGGCATTTTTTGTGATACTAATTAGATGTGCCCTGTTCTTTCGAATTTCAAAAATTAGAGGTCGAACGGCCTTAGCCTGTAGATGTGCGATAAAGTTTAATTTTTTTTTATTAAGAACTTTTTTATCGATACAGCGTGAAGTTTAATGAAATTAAAAACATGCACTTTGCGAGACTCATAAACCACTGCACGGATTAAAATGAAATATGGCACTCGAATCGCTTATAACTCTGACTAACATTTAGAATATTTTTTAGGTTTTTGAAATTAAATTTCGAGCGTTTTACGCTATGCGGGTTCACTAGTTTATTTATATTTTTTATGCTCCTGTAGTATTAATAAAATTTCATGTGTACTTATATATTTTCTAAAGAAAAGAGTATTCTCATCTACATATATATCATTACCTAAACGTGAAAAGGAGCCAACTTTTTGAAATTGTTCAGGAGACTCGAAAAATTGATGCATCAAAAACTAAATTTTGAAAAAAGTGGACTTGGCACCTTTCCGCCTTAGAATAACTTTTACAATACAGTTTTATAGTCCATTTTATTTTTGTACAGTAAAGTGCAAGTTTGAAGCTGCTAAAAAATCTTAAAACTTTAACAACAGAAACGAGTTGTATTAAATATATACATACGAGTAGTACTTTCTTAATCCCCTACCGCCCTAACAAGCGTTGTCCTTTCTGCTGTGCCAAAACATTAGCATGACCATTTCCGAGATAATCTCTTGATGATTTCCAATGTAGCTTAAGATTCCGCATCAATTCCAGATGCTTAAGCTAAGCTATAAAACGTAAATCTCAGGGTATTTCGCTGATGGCAGTGAACATCCTTATTACAATTTTATTATTAATTGCCAGGCCACAAAACTCGGCTTTCCAGCTAACTCAATGACAGCGTCACCATAAGAACCTTCTTGCGGTAGTCCCTTGTGGAGTTTGAATTGGCCATACTAATATATTGAGGATCGCCTCTAGTAATCATGCTCCAGCTTGCTACGCCTGCACAAACTGATACTCTCGAAAGTAGTAAAGGTAAATTAATGAACTCCCTATACGGTCGCAGTTGGGTAATCCAAATAATCTGAAATCCGAAATCCAAAATATAGTAGTATTCATTTTGCCGGAAATGGCTTAGCTACAAGTAATTCAGTATTTATCTAAGCACGCCGAGGTTGATAATGTTCCTATTTCTCTTTATGACTCTATCAGAAGCCACACCATTTCACTCTTATTACCATTGTTGCCACTAAATCGAATTCCAAAAACTGCTTTTTGTCATAAATCACGCACAACATGCGTGTACGCCCACTCGGCGTACGGTAGAGTACCGTTAAATTTACGGAAAGCTTCATAGTAGTTCCTTTGAGCTTGTAGGGCATTTAAACGCACAACAAGACCAACGCACCAACAAAATTTACATGAGAAAGGCAGAGATGTTGAGATTGCAATGACATTGCTGCCGTATTGACATTTGGAGAGCTCGCGAAATGTACATTTGCAAACAGACACACAATACATACGTACATAAAATTGTAGAAATGCATGTAATACAAGCTACGCCGAGCCATAAGGGGGGGAAAACAATTGTAACAATGCCAAAAGCACCCACATAGAAAATATTATAATTGACAAAAATCGAGCAGCCAACTAGTAGCTTTGACTGTGATTCATACTTGCATGGATACCGCTTTACGCCTGCATTTGTTTGGCTGCATTAGAGAGTGGAATGTGTCCACACTTGGTCATCATCATCAATGGTCTGACAAACCAGCCGGCCCGTTTCGCTTACTCCCCCCCTAATCCCCTTCTTCCCCTCCAAATCCTTTCAACCAGACGCGCATATTTGCATGGAATTTGCATATCTACTACATATGTATGTATAAACATGCAGAAGGTGGGACGAACTGCAGTTAGTCAGTTAGACGAGCAAACAGACAACCATCAGTCAGTAGAAAAGTGGAAGACTACTGGTGTTGCCACTGCCACTGCTTCTGCTATAGCTTCTGTTGTTGCTCCTCAATCTACGAGGTTACGCGAAAAGTGGTTGTCATTATTCGAGAGCACGTCAGCAAGTCGCATGCTACACATGCCACACGAATGACTTGCCACCGACGAGCTGTGGAATGAGATTCACTCACTTGCGCGTAATAATCAAACCGCAGCCCCGGACACAAGGAGCACATGCATCGCTCCTCCATCGCCTCTAAGACTCACTTGATTGACCATCAACATCTGCTTGGTGTGGATGCCACACAATTTTTGAGTGACGCTCTCCTACATGCAGTAGCTCGGCTCGTTCTCAGAAGCAATTTCCAATTGACACGCATGCATACCCACATATGTGCATATGTATTTACATACCATGTATATATGTATGTATATATGTATATACGTATGTACGTGCAGTAACGCAAAGAATTTTAAAATTTCAAATAAATACTTGACTACCGACCACAAATTATTTAACTCGTCACTTACGTGCCTACACAACATATTACATATGTATAAATATAGATAAAAACACCTTTTGACATACAAATGTACATACAGTATACATAATTATATCCTTAACTAAGCTTTACTCTCCATCATCACCATTTCATTTGCTTTTATTTTTTTCTCTTGTTCACAGGTTCGTTACTGTCACTCATTGACGGATGAGGAACGCAAGGAACTTCGCCTATTCTCCACACAACGAAAACGTGACGCACTTGGACGTGGCAATGTCAGACAGTTGATGAGTGCGCGCCCGTGTGACGGTGTAAGTATTACTTTTCATCAAATTCACTTAAAAGTTAAACTATTTATATACACATAAAAACTACATACAACTAAGTATAGTCTGATATGAGCACTTGACCGCCAACAGCTAAAGTGTCTGCTAGTGTAGTTTTATTCTGATTATCTCAAGTTGAGTTTGGCTGAAATTACTCAGGGAAAATTTTTACAATTTCAAAAAAATAAAAGTATAAGGAATTTTAAGATGCAGGTCTATAAACATTCTAGATGAAAAATCCGATTTATTCGACAACCAAACTCAGGTTTGTTCGATATTCGAAAAATTACGATTTCAAAAAAGATACCCAAAACTTTTGAAGCAAAAAAAAAAAGGGCAGAAACCGCTTTGGAAAACCGAAGCAATCCCCCTAATTATCTCTTAACTTGACTACAACAAGCTTCGCAGAAACATGGAGGAAAGAAAATCTATAGGTGTATGTCATCAACTGAAATGCAAAAGACTGTAACTAACAAAAATCCAACATTTTCTTTTTGATTGGTTATCATGTATTTTTACGTTTCAGCTGACCATATGGCCCCAGCTTTAAGGCAGAGTTTCTATCAATCTCGACATAAATGCGCAGCATATTCTGTGTGATTGTTGAGCGTTGGCCAGACTGTTACACTTATGTAAATTCATTTAAAATCGAACCTTTTAGTACTAGGAAGCTCTGCTAGTGTTTGTTAGGCAAGCTAATAATGTTTTAGGCTATAGAAATAAGGGACCTATTATAGGTACACAGAAAAGTGGCAATATCTCATTTTTGAGATGCTTAATTCATTTACGAACAAACCATATAAGGTTTACGGGTTCCAATCAAATTTTAAAGCCCTAATACAGCAATGAAGTCTGCGATAGCTTAGCATTTGTGGTCAAGTGTGGCGTTGTTTATATATTTAAATCAAACATTTGTCGTATCGCCAGGTAAACAAGTTCAAGGCGAATCTTCTTAATGAAAGACAGTGGCTCATATTTCACATAGTCAACTTAGTCAACGTAGCTCTGCGTTTGAGACGACGTTCTCATACATTATTGAACAAGTCAAAAAACCTGTTCTGAGAATGCACATTTCAAAAAGGAAAAGTCTCGGCGTCGCATTCAAGAAGTAGTTGCTCAGAAGCCTGTTAAAACTTTAGTTTATATTCGGATTGTTTAGTAAGTTTCTCATATCTTTCATCTTCTAAGCTCTTCTCTGGTGGTGTGTGATCCTACCGCGAAGAACGGCTCGAGGAATATTTGTGTTGCTGCTGCCGCTTTCCTGGCAAGCGTGTCTGCCTCCCCATTACCTTTTATGGCCTTATGGCCCGGCACCCAGATGAGGAATACCTTATTGATTGCTGCTAAGGTGTTTAGCCCCTTGTCGCACTCAGGAACCATGCGGACTTAATTTCATTGCAGACAAGGGCTCTGAGTGCGGCCTGTTTGTCGGCTAATATTAGTATATTTTCATCACGATAATTTCGCTGAAGATTTATCTCTGCACCCAGATTAATGGCGCGAACCTCCGCTTGGAAAATTCCAACCACAATGCCTTCGAGTGTTTTTGAGCAGTCTGTGTACCAAACAAGGGGGCGTAGACGGGAGTATTTTTTTATATTCCAATTTGCATTATTTCCTAGCTTTACTTTGAAATTTCTATCTAAACTAATGATTCTGTAGATATCATCTCGTGGGAGTTGGGCTCTGGTAGGTTCTTTATTTCGAGATGATACCCTTTTCTCTTCCAAAACCCTCTTTATTGAAATTAATTAGGGATCTTTTGGCTCCCTGTTCTATGTTACTAAAAACAGTGGCGTTAGATCGAAAGCAACCTAAAAATGCTGCTGTTGGACAGGTTTTGTGAGTGAGCACCTCACAGTCGCTAGGTTGGCTATCGAGCCCCAGCCCACCGCCCCATAGGATATCATAGGCTTGATTATCATAATATACATATATTTTCCTACAAGACGTTTGCTTACCGGATGTCGGCACATCAACGTGTTCCTTCCATGAGAGTTTAGCATCAATCGTGATGCCCAGATTGTCTTCCGAGACAACGCCGACTTCTGTTGGCAAAAAATAGCGGTCTTGGAAAAAACATGCTAGAACCACCGTGTCGCTCATGTACATCTGCGGCCACGTACGTCTTACCACTTAAGATTGTGGATATTTCTAAACAAAAAAAATTGGGCACGCCAATTAAGGTAATATTAGGGCATTACGTTTATATGAGTTTGGATAATTATTATTATTTTTTTTTTTAATTAAATAAAATTCATTTGGGGATGATATGATTCACGGATTTTCGCTTGGATATTTTCAAATCCTTTTCCTATTTTTTATCAAACTGCTTGCAATATATTAAACTGAACTTACAGTAACACTTGTAAGAAGTTGTTGCATCTTGATCAGAAGTACCGACCTTTATTTTGCCAGAAATTAACGAAACATAATTTGGAAAAGATTCGTTTTTAATTAAATCTCCGATCGTACTTTCAAAAAGTTTTCTCTATGTCATTTCTCTTTGGCTTATATTAGGTGATTCCCTTTAAAAATTGTAAAAATCTGAACAATCTTAAATGGTAAATTGCGCGCAGCCGGAGGTTTAGTAACGCGTATGTAAGTAACGGGTGATTTTTTTGAGGTTAGGATTTTCATGCATTA